CGAACAACGACCATACCTTTTCCAGGCACAAGTGCTTCGATGCTGCCGAGCTTCCATTGCTGAGGCGGAAGATTGTCGTCATGGATTACCACCATGGACCATGGTTCCAATAGCGAGATTTGACGACGATGATGTCCATTTGGTTCGAGCCCGAAGCTCGTGAATGTAATCTGATGACCAACGACGCCAAAATTGATGTTTAGCAGCGGTTATCACGTCAAACCGCTCCAAATTGTTGAGATGAGGCGTTGCTATCGTGGGTTCAGGAAGCGCCCGAAGAGATTTTCCAACTAACAAGTGTCCTGGGGTGATTGCTGATAGATCGTTGGGATCAGGCGACATAGGTGACAATGGGCGAGAATTCAGGACAGCTTCGATCTCTGTTGTGATCGTACAGAGCTCCTCAAATGTTAGCCGAGTGTTCGATAGCGTCTTGTGCAACAACCCCTTTGCGCTCTAAACTGCTGCTTCCCAGAGTCCGCCAAAGTGGGGTGCCCTGGGCGGAATAAAATAAAACGACACGAAATCCGAAGCACTGTATTCTGATATTGCGTCTTGAGTAGATTGATCAAACAAAAATTGTTTCAAAGCCTTTAGCTCCTTTGCTGCACCCACGAAGTTAGTTCCATTATCACAATAGATGTCAGTGGGCAGCGCTCGCCGAGCAACCATTCGTTTGAGTGCAGCCAGAATGCCTTCGTGTATAATTGAGAGACCACTTCGATGTGCACCGCCTTGGATGCCAAACAAATGAATACGGCCAAGTAAGATTTTGTGGGACCCCTTCCTCGTATGCGAACATACGTATTTATTGGCCCACAGAAGTCGATATGGTGTTCCGGTCGAAGGCGCTCCACTGGCAGCGATCCCATAAGCTGCCTTTCCAATTTTGACTTGTACCGAACACACGCCATGCAGGTGCGCACGATGCGACGTGCCAAGTCTCTGGCGTTTACGATCCAATATTCCAATCGAATGAGTGCCACTACAGCTTTAGGTCCAGCATGGCAGTTGCGAAGATGTAGATGCCGCACATAGATCCAGACGAAGTGCGATTTACTGGGCAACAATATCGGATGTTTTTCGAAGTTTTCAAACTCAACGTTGTCCAGCCGGCCGCCAACTCTGATTAGTGAAAATCCTGTGGAGCGATCTAGAAGAGGATTGAGAAACTTTAGATGGCTTCTAAGTGGTTGATCTTTTTGCAGTTGGCGAATGTCTTCGACGAATGATAATTGCTGGATGTTCCAAATTATGCAATAGGATGCATTGCGTAGTTCCTCGGATGACAAAGTTGTTTCGAATTTACGTTTCATATGTGTGATTTGAACGAAGCGAAGCATGTAAGCGACAGTGCGAACACAACGATTGTATGAGCTGATGTTCGCTAGTTTCTCCAGGACATGGTTACGATCCATTGTGGCGACGAAAGTAGATTTACGTTGTTCGGCATTGCATATCAATGTTGCTGACGGGAAATTGAATCATCTGAAACATCAAATGTGCTGTTGAAACTAGAACATCGAGCATGTGAGGAACACTACGTAAAAACGACTGTTATAAATGACAGTGGTCGCATTGTTGTAAGGCTACCGTTTAAGAACAATCCCAGTCAACTTGGTCATTCATTCGACATAGCACGCCGCAGATTTCTCAGCTTGGAACGCCATTTGGCACAATCTTCGGAACTTCGCTTACAGTATTGTCAGTTGTTGTACTCTGGACTTGGCAGTGAGAAGATAAAGACCAATGTTTCCGCAAGCAGATTCCGACCGCACGGAGATGCAACAGCCGTACGCTCGAATCGAAGCGTCGCAGAACCCATGCAATTGAAATGAGCTTTGGTTGACCTGTTTGCAGTACCGGGGTACAGCAAGTGACGAAATGGTTTGGAATGATTCCAGGCACTTCTTCCAGGCCAGTTCAAGATGCTGTGGTACCGATTCGTCCCAAGTAAGCCCTGTAAGCCAGAGCTCGTGTAGGATTATCTTTGCAACGATTATGACTGGTGATGTAATCTGAAACGCAACAACAGCAAATATAAATCGTCTTGGAGAGTCGGGCCGACAAGTAAATGATCATTGAGCGAAGTTTGATTGGATGTTCGACACGAGGCATCGAAGATCACTCGAAGCTTTGTGGATTCGCTGCTGGGCTTCAAAACGCAATGGTGAGGTATGGAGTAGTGAGGTTCCGATAAGTTTGGTTCTGTGACCAGCGACATATATTCCAAACGTTCATACTCCTCCATGAATTGACAATACTGTAAGCGAAGTTCCGAAGATTGTGCCAAACGGCGTTCCAAGCTGAGAAATCTGTGGCGTGCTATGTCGAATGAATGACCAAGTTGACTGGGATTGTTCTTAAACGGCAGCCTTACAACAATGCGACCACTGTCATTTATAACAGTCGTTTTTACGTAGTGTTCCTCACAAGCTCGATGTTCTGGTTTCAACAGCACCTTTGATGTTTCAAATGATTCAATTTCCCATAAGCGTTTAATGTGATCGTCAATTGAAGTGGCATCAAGCTTAAAACTAGCAGCAAGCTCTCGAGACTGTTGCGGATGAGACTTTCCTGTCACTACCCAACCAAACAGTGTCTTTTGGAGCATGGGCCCAGTTGTAGAATGCTTCTGTTCCTAAAAGCATGTCGAGGTGTCGAAATTGGTAGAATTTCTCATCTGCCAGAACAATATTTTCTGGTATTTTCCATGTTGAAATGTCGATATTGATGTCCGGCTGATAGGCTATATGCGAGGTGACGCAAAGATACTTCAAAGTGCGACTAACGAGACCTTATTGATGTTGTTGTAAGCGAAGTGATGTCTGTACGTGCATGGCCAATACTGCTGATTTGCACATCGTGTAGACGAAGCTTCTGAGCAAACGAATCGGTGACGAAATTCACTTGCGAACACGAGTCCAGTAGAGCACGGCCTAGTCTGTAGGTGCCAGTTGAATCTCTGACCAAGACCATAGCCGTTGCTAAAAGAACGTGAGATTGATAAAGTTTTTTGATTTGCGAATGATTGTGTGCTACTGCTTCGGTGGCTGGGGAAGAGATTGGTTGTGTTGTTGAATGTATCTTGTTGTGTAACAAAGTGTGGTGCGATCTCTGACAATGGCGACAGCGATTTGTTGAAGGGCAATCGGCCATTTGATGACCCTTAGACAAGCAATTAAGACACAGTCGGTGACGTTTGACGACATCAAAACGTTGCAGCGCATCCAATGCTTTAAATTGTTCGCAAGCCATCAATTTGTGAGTTGAACTTGAGCACAATGCACAAGCATCGATAGCAAGTGCGAAAGACGAGTTATGTCCTTTGCCAGGATTACGAATCTGTTTTGAATACGTTTGGTTAATTGTTGTACCTTTGGACAACAGGAATTAACAATGACGCTCCAGTACTTGTACGCACTGATCCCAAGTCGGGATTGTTGTATAATCCAGCGATAAATTCCATTTGTTTCTAGTTTCCTGATCGCATTTATCCAGAACCACATAGATTAACATGGCTTGCGCTATGTCGATGCCAGAGCCCAAGGACGAAAGTGAACTAAATAATGCCGATGCATTATCAATTAACGACCGTAGCTGAGTAGCGTTTGATGAACTAGCTGAAGGCAACTAAAAAATTGACGATATTGTCTCTGTAAATATTAATGCTGGCTTGTCATACCGAGACTTTAATTTTTCTAATGCCTTAGCGTAATTTTCATTGGTGACTGAAATGCCTTCACGCACTCCAGTGCAGCACCCGTTAAGCTGTTGAGTAGATAGTTAAACTTCTCAATGTTTGTTATTTACGCTCCTTTCACGATTTGATTAAACGAGCAAATGAAGTTGTTATATTCTAGATGATTGCCATCGAATGTGGGCAAGGCCACACAAGGCAGACGTGATAGTTGAGGATGGTAAGCAACGTGTGATGTAGCGTCATCAGCGACTGTACTATTTAAGTCTTCACCAAGCAATTTCTTAATTGCCAACTTGATGTGTACATAGTTGTCTTCCAGTTCAGCGCGCCCATTATCATTTGGATCCAGAGTTTCTATTTCCGATTGAATATTATTCCGATCGAATAACGATTGGTTAAAGTACGATTCCAAAATGCCTAAGCGACATTGAAGATCCACAGGTGATCTTTTAGAAGAATCTCCAGATTGTCCATCGACCAAAGTTTTAATGCGGGAAATGTTCCTTTTGATGTTTGCGCGCTGGCGTCGGTAGTCTTCCAAGGAATTCGACATATTTACAGAATTTGGCGTGGAGCTTAAGTTCTGCTTGACGCGCCAAAAACGACGAAAATGATTGTTGTGTGTATGTGTGTATATGAACTGTATGAAACGAACGAAGAATAAATTTGGGATAAACCACTAAAGGCATCGACTGAAGCGACGATTGCGAGCAGCGCACTGGCCGTTTTAGCAGTAGCGAAATATGTAATAAGAGCAGCGACGATGTGAAAGAAGACGATCGAAAATTGACCGAAAACTAACGGCGAACAAAGTAGACGATGAACGAAAAGAGACACAATGCAATAACCGTTTCTTTGAGTTATGTGCATGTGTGTGATTGCTGCTGCGATGAACTTTGTGTTGGTTTTGGTTAGCTATTTTCCCATGCGACGAATTTGATGTTTTAATTGTTGCAACCAAGCAATTGGAAGCCAAGGCGAATTTGTTTACTTTGTATATACGCGCACGCGGAATTTGTTAACGTAACAAAATGCGAAATTGTCCAATGGTTTATTAAATTTATTTAAACACTGCCCCACATTGGCCGCCAAAATGTTCGGTGCACAAAGCGTTTTTTATGCACACACGAGACTTCAAGTCTGGGCGGTATTTAACTATTTTAATTAACACTTTATTTTTCTTACACAAAGGTGCCCGCGTTGCTTGTTCTAGTTCTTATTACAACTGGGGCTAATTCGATATCGATGTTTTACTAAACTACAAGTATTGTTAACATAAGTGAATAAGTTCCACCAGTGTTATGCAAAGCCGCGATAAATTGACAGCTGATATTGAGTGATCAGCTGTGTTTGAATTAGTTTGACCAAACAATAATTATGAAACGATCGATCAGCTAGAGTTCTGCGAAACGAATGAATAGCTGCAGCAGCCGGCCGGTCAGCGAATGCACTTTATCGAGAGAGAGAGAGAGAGAGCGAGCGCTGCACAAAGAGAGCAGCTCAAACTGCATTTAACATAATGTGCCTATGTACTTAAGATTAACAACATTTATATCAGGCCACGCAGGGCTCCAAATTCAAACATATTAGAGATTCAAATCAATTATGGTTATTTGCTACTGCTGCTGCCAACATACTCCACCCGTTGCAACAGAACCCTTAACAGGCAGCATACACATCTTGTTGACAGCTCTTCGGATGACTCCTTTAGGCGTCTTCAATTCAGCAACTCGAGCAATGCCGTCCCTGCCTGCAACTAAGGCAAGCACTCTGGCGAGTGGCCAGCTCATGGGAGGAAGATTCTCGTCCTTAACGAGGACTACGTCATCCACTTGAATAGGACGAGCTGGAGATTTCCATTTGGCATGCTGTTGGAGGAGTGTGCGATACTCCTCCCGCCACCGTGACCAAAAGATTTGCTGTAGGTGAGTCACTCGCTGCCAGCTAAATATATATATATCTATTTAGTTGCCAATTTAACTACGAATTTTGCTGTGAAAATGGTTGCCAAGTTAACCGAATTCGCATGTTGGTCTGCAATTTGACCATGTCTATGATTCGGAATATAAATCTAAATAGACTGATTATTCACCACTTGCTAAATGATGAATGACTGGCCGCCAGTTAACTTATTATGAATAGTTCGCCAAATGCAACTAAGGTGGTCACCAAATGTAAGAATTTAATATCGAATGTCAATTCTATGGGTATGTTGAAATATGTTTGGGATGCTACGGTTCATGTACCAGTAGCAAAGTGTCGCCGTAATCGGTACTTGGAACAAATTGGGCTGAATGAAGTAAATACGCAAAGATATCTTTTATACTAATTAATTGAGTAAAATGCATGGGTTATGTTGGATTTGTTAGATCCAAGCGCACAGTTTTACAGCGTATACAAACAAGATAACGATATGCAGGAATCACACTTTTATTAGTCTAATGACGCGACGCATTCGGCAGTCAAAAACGGAGTGGGTACAGAACTATTGTGAGATTAATTTTTGAGTACATACGAACGAACGGACAATGCAAAACTTGTGTTGCCTACTTCAGGGAATTTTCTTTGATATACGTTTATCTTACGATTCACAAACGGTTTAAGCTTAAATATATTGACATGCTAGATGCAGCATTTGCTATGCAGGCAGAGCCACCAAGTTGCTCTGCCGTTTTCATCAACCTGTTAATTACCCTATTAATTTTTAATTCGAACTACTTGTTACCACCTTCGTACTTATTGGTGTACTGTGATTCTTGTGCGATTTCTAGTTGGTATTAGGTTTCTTGTCTCAATGCAGACATAGGCATTTCAAACTTCTTCTCCGTCACTGTCCTCATGCATATATGGATTTTGAAGTCTGAATAATTGTGCGGATGGTATTTTGCCTCGCGCTAGTCGTTTTTCATTCAAGACTGAAAGAAACATACATTCCCCAATTGAGTGCCATACCCACTTCGAAAGGGTGAATACATTTTTAGATTGTTTAAACAGCAATAACATGACTTTTTAATTTACGCGCGGTGTAATAATAAGGTACAAGTACAACTGAAAGGTGATCCCAAGAGCAAACTTAGAACACAACGGCGATGTTTAAGTATCGAAAATAGAAAATGTCTAAATTATCTTACAACTATATACAATTATTCTTCTCATTAGGACATTATCTAGGTACATATTTACTGCGGCATAGTAGACTCATTATCCCATCAGTTCGGAGAACTCTTATCGCGGGAGGTTTTATTACGGTCACGACTGGTGCCGAGTACGTGTATGCTCACGTCTTTACCTATCCTCTCGATAAGAACCCTCGTTGCTTAATGCTCTTTGATTTTTTGTGTTATCATGTCTAAAACGACAATTGGAAAATGTGAGCCAAATACATAAAGCGGAAAATAGATAGTGACGAACAGTTGCCCTCTCAAGAGGTTAGCAAGGAAAACTCATTCAACAACTGTTTGTCTTGAGTTGTAATTTAGAACTGACTTTATTTCTTATAATCCTAGCCTTATATAGCTAGGGTTCACGTATTTTCTACCTGTTCTAGATGATCCAAGTGCAATGTATACACCTCTAAAAAAGAAATCCATGCATAGTTGGAAGTTTTATGACACTCAGTTCAACCAAGCCAAATTATGTATATTGGGATGATCCAAATGAGATCGTTGATAGACTTAAACTTTTAGTTGGCTCACAGGCCCAGCTGCCTAACACTAATCATAATAATGAAATCGTTTCGATAGTTGAAGAACTTCGTGAAGCAAAAATTATTTATTGAATAAATAATACTGTGATGAACAATAATTTAGTAATATCAAAATGCCATTTGACAAGTTTGGTCACTTCTTCTCAACAAGCTATGAAAAGAAAGATCAAGTGTAAAAAAACACATTGCTGGTGTTCTACTTGATGGTGATCAGAACATTATTTTTTCAAACAAACGTCTTAAGATTGTGGGTGAACCCTTGGAAGATAATGATGCGGTTACTAAAGTCTTCATAGAAAGAAAAGTAGAAGAAACAATGGAGAGCTTTGAAGAACTTTTAAAAGGAAAAGATCAGTCGGATCAGAAAACAATAAGTGAAATATCATTTACAATTCTTCATGAGATTAAGAAAAATAAAATTGAGGTGGAAGAACTCTTGAAAATCAGAAAGTTCTTTACAAACGGATTTTTGGTATTCGCAAATAGAGTCACTTAAGTAAGTTTTTATTTAACGGTGAAAATCAAAATGTAAAATTAAATATAGACTCTTTAAGATTCGATAATAAAACA